AATAATAAATCCTCATTATTTTTATTAGGGGGACCCTGCCTGAGAAAACCAATTGGACAAACTTCCCTGAAATGCAGCTTGACACTCCCCCCCCCATCTTCCCCTCCAGTGCGTGGGGACTTTTGGGGGCATGCTATGATCTGCAGGTCAAACTATGCATTACATCCCCCCCCAATTCATTTTAAACAACTTTGCAAATGCGCCCACTAGGTTTTACACTTGGGGGGAGAAGAAAGGCATATGGAGAGATGGGAACTTTTATCATTTTCTTCCCAGGCCATTTTGTCAAAGCAAAAAGCCACCCCTCCCCCTCCAAGTTGCTGTGACCCCTGCTGGGGAAAACAGTGGGGTTCCACAGTCATCTGACCGGTGCTATATGTACATTGAATGCGCATCCAAAAATATGGCCCAGAATCCTGTACATTGTACAGAAGTCCTAGAGAAGCCAAGATGTTACAGATTCTTTCCTCAAAATGCAAAGTTTAACAAACACTGTCCTAAACTAAACGAGGGATGCATTCCTAAGGGCAGAAGCCGTTTTGCTTTTTTAAAAACGGAGTGAATGCCTATATTTGAGGACATAATTACTGAGGTTATGACCTATTCAAAAATAATCACAAATGCTGTTTTTCTCTTTGGAATTTAGCCTTGATTGTACTTAAGACCAGACATTTCTTAACTCTGCCCTCAATAAAATCTGAAATGAACTCATGCAAAAATCCAACCAGGGCTATTTTTGGGCAGGAACGCACAGGAACAGAGTTCCGGCTGGCTTCCAAGTTGGCCACGCCCAGCAGGAACTCATTAGCATAACAGGCCACATCCAACAGCAGAAACTCATTAGGATTGGCTACATTAGGGGTGTGTGGCCTAACATGCAAAAAGCCCTGGGTTTTGACAACAAACAAGGTAAAGAGAATAAGAAGCAAAAGGTGGGTGTGACTGGATGAGCACACGTCTGGTAACATGGGGTGTGGCCTAATATGCCAATGAGCTGTGCTGTCAGGGGCGTGGCATATTATGCTAATGAGTTCCTGCTGGGCTTTTTCTACAAAAAAAGCCCTGCAAATAGCAACAAGAACATGACTCCTTTATTAGGAGTCACAAACTAGTGTGCAAGTTTTAGAGTTCCACAGAACTTTTCCTCAGGCTAGATATAACAGAAGATGTTGATAATAAAGTAGGTGTTGGAAGTCCCATAGGTTAAGAGGGGAGTTCAGGAACCCCTGGGCAGACTGAGTGCAATCCTGTGCACAGAGTCAATCGGCTGGGAAAGGTGTAACTTTGCTTAGGATAGCACTGTTCACAAACTAGCTTGCGCTCAGTGTAACCATCTCAGGTTGCACCAAAGCATCCTGGGAAGAAGATGCAGCAGCCAATCTCCTTGCAGAACGCAAATGCACATGGGTTGACTTTTCTGAAATACTCTGCAACCTAGAACTCACACAGACATGGGCAGAAGGTAAATATTTTCATTTTGTGGCTTGCAAGCGTGATACAGTCAGGGAAAAAGATCTCTTCTATCTGTGTCTTGCCAGAAGAGCATGCAAACAGTTCCTATGTTTCCTCGCTGGGGTCTTCAGCCAACATGTGGTCTTGTGGGCATTTTATTTTTCTGAGGGTCAGCATTTTAGGAGGAATTATTCTAGGAATAAGAAGCAGCACTGCAAATATCATGTATGCAGACTACACCACTACTGTTCATGAGGGCTGGTTCTCATACTGATAGCATCAGGCACAAAAGACATCAGCGGTGGGATCTTTAGCGGGTAACTCATGAACTGAGCTGAACTGCTCAGTTTGGGGAAAAACTCTGTCCGACAGGAAGGTTCCCCCCCCTCATCAAAATGCCTTTAATCTAGGACAGCACTGGTCAGAGTTTTCCATTAGATCTCCTGATTTCCACTGTTACAAACGTCAATTCCAGTTCTTAGAAAAACATTCATTCTAGGCTAGAATTTCAATCGGTCATATCAGTGTCTATCTGAATATCACCGCAGGCTTAATCAGAGTTGCTCCTGATTTGCATTTGTGAAGAAATGCCTTTTTCTCTCCTGAGAGGCTCAGAACAAATCAAACCTCCCTTTTGCCTTTTAACAGTTTTTTCCCCTCTAGGCTGGGAACAAAAGGGGGGGGGAGTCTAGGCAATGGCTTTTCAGCTTACCTTTATACATATGCTAATAGATCTAGCTGGAGAGATAATGGGTGGTTCAAGCCCTCCCCCCCTTCTCTTAGCAGGATGTAGAGGTTTGGAGGCATGAGGATGCTAGACTGTCTTCAGGAAAGAAGTTCCTGGAGACCGCCAGGAAGTGCCTCTTTGACCTGAGCTGACTGGGGTCAAGGGGATGGAGTACCAGAGATGATAAAATCTCCATGCAAAGGGAAGGCACTCTCCTTTTCCTTGGGTGCTGCGACCGGGAGCACATGCAGATCTCTCCTCAGGATCAGGCAGCCATTGACCATGTGCTCACCTAGAAGGGCTGGAACAAGCTGTAAGGTAATGGTGACTCTGCAGAGATTTGTAACATCCTAAGCTTAAAGAGCCTGTCCTATTTTAACATCTGATAGGGCACGTACAGTGAGAGGGACAGAGGATTTGTATTTTACCAATTTCTTTTGTTTCCCTTGCTCGAATCTGGGACTGAGCTAAAAGTATGCTTGTAAACATTTTCTTTTTAATAAATACTTTATAACTTTGTATGTTGGGAGTGGTTCTCTGTACCACATAGACCTTCACCGTCTCGAACACGCTATTTTAAAAGGAGCACCAGGAGGAGGAAGACAGACAGTTGACAAGTGGCCATTTCCCCCAAGGGTGCACAAGGCAGTAATCTGTCCCTGTGGTGAGAAGGCGTTGGGCAGCGGGAGACACAGAGGCAAGGCCTCAGATCTTGAAAAGGAAGCTGGGAGTCCTGTCTCTCCCAGTGGCAAAAGGGCAGGTGGTGGAAAAAGGGCAGGTGGTGGTGATGAGCTATCCTGAGTGGAAGAAAAGAGGGCAGGGCAGAACAGAGACTGCAGGCTAGAGCAGGCCTGTTCTGCCACAACATTTATAAAACTTTGTTGGTCTTAGAGGTGCCACTGGACTCTAATTTTGTTCTGTAACTTCCAAAACTTTGTGAGGGGCTTAACTCACACATCCTGCCCCATGATGCCTTATACCGACTTGGCCCTTTGTTCAGTCAAGACTTATTGACACTGACGGGCAGCAGCTCTCCAGTCTCCTTAGAAAAACAATTTTCCAGGAGAGTCTTTGACTAGCAATGCCAGGGAACGAACTGTAGGATCTTCTGCTCTGTCAGTGACCTGTGGGCCTTCTGAGAAAACAACAGCCCCTCCAATTTTCAGTGCCCATCCTCCCATTTGTACTGTAGAATGGTCATATCACATCCTCATAAATAACCCTGTGATGTAGACAAGGCTTCAGGACTGGCCCACAGTCACCATGCAGAGGGCGGATTCAACCACAGGCTTCTATGGTCCAAGCCCAACACTTTCAAACACTCCTGAGCCCAATTCAAGGTATTGTTTTGAGCCTTAAAGCCCTACACAGTTTGGGGACTGGGTATCTGAGGGACTCTCTCCTCCCAAAGGTTCCGACCCAGGAACTAAGTTCCCAGGGAGAGGCCCTCCTGACTGTCCCATCAATCAAACAAGCTTGTCTGGTGGGGACATGAGAAGAGAGCCTTTTCTGTGGCAGCCCCACGATTATGGAACAACCTTCCCAGGGAGGTGCACCTGAATCTCTCACTTTCAGTCTTCAGGAGGCAGCTGAAGACAGCTTTATTTAGAACTAGAAGAAGAGAAGAGAGAAGAAGAGATTGGATTTATACCCCGCCCTTCCCTTGGAGTCTCAGAGCGGCTTACAAACCCCTTTCCCTTCCCCTCCCCATAACAGACACCCTGTGAGGTGGGTGGGGCTGAGAGAACTCTGACAGAAACAGCTCTTTTGAAAGGACAGCTGTGCCAGAGCTTGTGACTGACCCAAGGTCACATCAGCAGGTGCAAGTGGAGGAGTGGGGAATCAAACCCGGACCTCCCAGATTAGAGTCTGTGCACGTAACCACGACCAGGGCTCTTTTTGTAGCATAATAGGCCACACCCAACAGCAGAAACTCATTAGCATATTAGGCCACATCCCTGACAGCACCGCTCATTAGCATATTAGGCCACACCCCCATGTTACCAGAAGTGTGCTCATCCAGCCACACCCACCTTTTGCTTCTTATTCTGTTTACCTTGTTTGTTGTCAAAACCCAGGGCTTTTTTTGTAGCAGGAACTCCTTTGCATGTTAGGCCACACACCCCTAATGTAGCCAATCCTAATGAGTTCCTGCTGTTGGGTGTGGCCAATTATGCTAATGAGTTCCTGCTGGGCATGGCCAACTTGGGAGCCAGCCGGAACTCCGTGCCTGTGCGTTCCTACCCAAAAATAGCCCTGACCACGACACCAAACTGGCTCTCATTTGATTAATCTATTAGCGGTCCTAAATGGTGCTTCTAAAACTTTTAATGGATTTTACGTATTTTGTCTATATTGTAAGCTGCCTTGAACTCCGTATGGAAGAAAGGTAGCTGCTAAATGTTTTCAATAAATAAACAAACCCACCACCCTGGGTTTCATCTTTTTTCTTTTCTTTTGCTGCCGATGCTGTCATGTCACCCTGTCAGCCGCAGGGGTGGGACTTTGCCAGGAGAACAGAGCTGCAGCTGGTCCGTCTACCCATCTCCTCTGAGTGGCAGTGGCTGCCCAGAGTCTAAGATGCCCAAGAGTGATCCTGGGACCCGCTGCATGCCAGGTGTGTGCTCTGCCACGTGGTCACGGATCCTCCCCAAGTACTTTCCCACACAAGGCGTCAACTGACTTACAGAGCCGGCCACTGAGAAGTGGTTCCTCCACGGATCACGTCAAACTAAGAAGCAAAACAGCTCAGCCATGCTCTTCTTTTGCTGCACGTGTTACCTTAAAATATAGGCTAAAATACAGGCACATCCAAGCTTACCTAGAGAAAATATTTCCCACAGCAGCACACCAAAAGACCAGACGTCGCTCTGGGTGGTGTAAATTTTGTCGAAGATCGCCTCTGGAGCCATCCATTTCAGTGGAAGTCTAGCCTATGAAATGAAGAAAGAAGATTTAATTCTTTATTAGATTGCTTCCTATCCCGATGGGTGAGGGTGGTTCATATCATCAGGAGCAATGCTCCCTCTAAGCTGTAGAGCCCTGTGAGCAAAAAATCTACTTTGTGAGCTCCTGACATTAAAGTTGTGAGCGAGCGATTTGGCTGCTGCATAAATGAGTTTGCTCTGGAGCCCTCCTTCCTGAGCTGAGACAAAAACATGTGAGCTGGAGGCTAAAAAACTGTGAGCTAGCTCACACTAACTCAGCTTAGAGGGAACACTGATCAGGAGTCATGTTACACATCACAGCGCTCAGCTGTCTGCACTTACATCGCCTTTCCGCACGTAGTCGGGATCCTTGTAAATATCCCTTGCCAGACCAAAGTCACAGATCTTCACCACGTTGTTTTCAGACAGCAGGATGTTCCTGGCTGCCAAATCCCTATGGATGCACTGGAGAAAACACCAGGACAGAAGAAATCAGTTTGTTTTCTTGGATGGTGGAGAGCAACCAGGGCCAGGAAGTGCCAGCTCTCTCCACTGTGCAGGTGCAGCCAACCTGGCCACACTGATCCATGCTTCTGTAATCTCATGGCTGGACTACACTAACCTATGCTATATGGGACTGCCCTTGAAGACAACTTGGAAACTATAACTGGTATAGAATGCTGCAGCACAGTTATTGTCAGGGCCTAATAGTTTAAAGGCTACCAGTCTGTTTTCAAGTTACCTTGAGAGCCCTCAAGGCTGGGACTTGGATATCTGGACTAGAGATGGGCATGAAATGAATTACGAACCTAAATTCATCATGAACCGGGCCCAGTTCGTGGTTCACAAACCTCGGTTCATGCCATCCTGCCCAGGTGAGCCCCCACAAACCTCCCACAAAACAGCCAGGTGGGTTCATGTGGTTCGTGTCGGCAGCAACAGCAGAGCCCGCCTCTCCCACGCAAGCCTTTGTCCTTGGCCAGGCACCGCCTCCGTTCTTGGGGCCCGCCAGTGGTGCTTGCTCCGCGCCTCTTTCCAAACTGTCTTTGGAGGCCGCCCGGACCGCGATCTGCGCCCAAAGCTACTCTGGGCCGCCCTTCCCCCCCGTCCATTCTTTTCTCCTTTATGACACCCCCCTCCCGTCTTCATGCAGAGACAGGTGTTTCGCTTCCCACGCACTGACGCTTTCCTCCCTGGCCATGGCAACTGGCGGCTTGAGCCTGCAGCCCTTATTTGGGGAGGAGCCTCTGTTGCTGCCGCTCTAGATGACTTTGGCAGTGCCCCCTGGTCTGGGGGTGGCGCCACACCAGAAGTGGGGCACCAGAAATTGGTGGGCGCACGGGGCGGGGGGGTGCCAGAAGGTATCCTCGCCTAGTGGGGGGGAAAACCTGGGGCCGGCCCTGGCCCCCTGGGACCACGGAGTGAGCTGCCTAGAGTGACTCGGCCCACTTACTTTTCTTGAGGCCAGGAACTCCATGCCTTTGGCCACCTGGAAGCTGTAGCAGATCAAGTCCTCCAAGGTCAGGGGGCGCTTATACAGATCTTCAGCATCTGGAAGAGACCCAAGCAGCCACTGACTATAGTCCCCAGCTCTGCTAGGAAAGGCATCTCCTTTCGCTTCCCTGGCCGTGTGGGATCATCAGAGCCAGGCCGGATATGAGCCTGATCCTCCCTCATCTCCCTCATCTCCCAGAGTCCTTCCTGGGGACCCGATCAAGGCAGTAGCAAAGGGAACAGGAGAACAGGAGAGCAGAACCGCCAGATCAGCCCAGTGGTCCCTCTAGTGCCGTGTCTGGTGTCCAACAGGGGCCACTCAGAAGCAGGGCCCCCTGCCACCCACTCCCCAGCAGCAGCAGCCGCCGCCGCCGCCTATGATGCTGCCCCTGAGCCAGCCCATCTCCTTCAGCTACCATGGCAATGAGAGACCCATCCACCAGCCATCTGTCCAAAAGCCTACGTAGAATAAGGGGTATTAGGGAGGGCTGTTTTGCTCTCTGACTCTGCCCTGGCTCCACCAAACCCAGGCATGTCACCGGTTCTGCAGCTGTAAGTGATTCTGTATTCCCCCCCCCCGACCAACAGGTATACTCTGGCCTCACCTGTGCGATCCCATCCCCTTCCCCAGCCCCTTCGGAGGCGTCCAGGTGCCAGCCTGCTTCCATCCCAGTCTGCCAGCATTCTTAGCCACCCCTCTGGCCTTTCTCCTGGCGTCCTTCTCCCAGCCAGTGTTCCCTCTAAGCTGAGTTAGTGTGAGCTAGCTCACAGTTTTTTAGCCTCTGGCTCACACATTTTTGTCTTAACTCAGGAAGGATGGCTAAAGAGCAAACTGATGTATGCAGTAGCCAAATTGCTCGCTCGCAACTTCAATGCCAGTAGCTGACAAAGCAGAATTTTTGCTCACAAGACCCCACAGCTTAGAGGGAGCACTGCTCCCAGCCCCCCCTTCAGTCGGTTGCTTTCCCCAGCAAGGGGCTGCCATTGGATCGGCTCCCTGGTGCTACCTCAGTGTGGATCAGCTTTGGTGAGAGCCAGCTTGGTGTAGTGGACTCTAATCTGGGAGAACCGGGTTTGATTTCCCACTTCTCCACTTGCACCTGCTGAGAAGCCGCAGTGCTTCATTTGCCCCGCGGCTTCACCCGATTTCCCCCGCAGTTTCGTGATCCTCAAAAAACAGGATTGTGAAACTGCGGGGGAAATCGGGCGAAGCCGCGAGTCAAAATGCAGCCCCGCAGCTTTGGGTGTGAAACTGACCAATAGTATCAGGGCAAATGGCGGCGCAACATCGAGGCAGCTCTAGTGCGAAATCAGCCTTGGGCTCCACACTGACTGGGACTACCAACTGGACAGTTTTCTACCGGCATGACCAACGTTTTGTTGGCTGTGCCTTTGCTCCTCCCCTTGACCCAGCTGACCTCCGTCCTTTGTCCCCATTGGTTCCAATTAGGGCTACCAAGTACCTACCTTCGAATCGGCGGGGGACACATGGTTCCCGGCAGGAACATCCCTCGGTGTAACACCCCCCCACCGCACCATGCCGTCGCCCAGACGTGACGCCAGCATGCTGGGCACGTAGCTGGTACCATCGAGTTTCCAGCTCCATTGCCACAGCGTCGCCCAGCTATGTGCCCAGCGTGCTGGCGTCACGTCTGGGCAACGGCATGATGCGGCGTGTTTGTCTTCCACGCGGGAATGTTCCTGACAAGAAGTATGTGTCCCCCGTCAATTCGAGGTAGGTACTTGGTAAGCCTCGTTCCAACTCTGGGTGGGCGGGCCCTGAGCCAAGCTCCACCCCCTGCCCCTTGACACACGTGTGCCTTTCAAGAACGGGCAGCCCTAACCAGGGGTCATTTCATAGAAAAAGAGGTGCAGGAGCTCATTAGCATAACTCATTTGCATATGCCACACCCCCTGACATCACCGGAAGTGTGTCAGAAGGCAACACCCACCGCTCAGGCTCCACTGGACTGTTTTGGATTGCTAGCTATGGGGGGGGGATATACAGATCTGTCCTCACAGAGGAAGGAGAGCTTGTACCTGGATAAAACTTGGTCTTAAAGGTGCCACTGGACTGTTTTGGACCGGGGGATGGGGGTTCTGCAGCTTACCTGGCTGCTTCTTGCTTTGACTGAGGGCTGCTGGGAGCAGGGGGCGGGGCTTATTGCATGTGCCCGCCCCCTGGGCTCTTTACTGCCGGAGCTCCGCTCCTGTGCGCTCCTGCAGGAAATTACCCCTGCCCCTAACTCTGATCTCAATCCTTCAGGAACCAGCAAGAGCAGGAAACTCAGGGGAAACTTGTATTTAGCTGATCAAACCAGGGCAGGTGTTGCAACACACTTGTTTGTTTGCGAGGGACATGACCGCAACCCATCTAACATTCTAATAGCGAGGTCCGGATATCTTTGGATACTTAAATCTGGTGTCTGGAGCTGTGAATAGGCAATACAGACCTGAAAAGGGCCCCGGGTTTTGCAGAAAAATGTGAAATCTAAAAAAAAAAAAATACACTGGCAGTTCTTTAAAAAGCCAAAAATGATAAAAGGAGCGCCTGTAGATTTAAGCAACTGATTCCCTCAGTGGCTGTTGCTAGGCAACCACTGTATTCCAGGCGGGGGGGGGGGAGGCCCTTTCCAGGCCTATTTTGGCTTTTGAGGGAGGACTCATCAGAGCCAGGCGTGGCTAGGGTTGCCACCTCCAGGCTGGAAAATTCCTGGAGATTTTGTGGAGGAGTCTGAGGAGGGCAGGGTTTGGGGGGAGGGGAGAAGCCTCAGCTGAATGTAATGCCACAGAGTCCACCCTCCGAAGCAGCTATTTTCTCCAGGGGGGCATATCTATGTTGTCAGTTGTAATTCTGGGATGTTTCCAGGTCCCACCTGGAGGTTGGCAACACTGGGCCTGGAAGCACTTGATACCACCTGACTTGCATGACTTAACTAGGCTGGGCTGCCTGCTCCTGTTCAACAGCCCCCCACCCTGTGAAAACCAGTGTGGTGTAGCAGTTAGAGCTTCAGAGTAGGGTCTGGGAGACCCACGTTCCAATTCCCATATTTGCTTTTGAAGCTTAGTGGGTGATTTTGGACCAGCCACATACTCTCAGCCTAACCTACCTCACAGGGTTGTGGTGTGGATAAAAAGGAGGAGAGGAGAATGATGTAAGCTGCTTTGGCCCCCCACCGTTGAGAAAGATGGGGCCAAAATGAAGTAAATAGCTAATAAATATAGCTGAAGATGGGAGGCAGATAAAAGGTAGGTTGGTGAATGGCTGAGAAGGAGAGAATGGGGCAGGGAAAGGGGAGAGGATGTGGGGGTTGCCTGCGGGTGGGAAAGAGGATATAGTACGGGGAGGGGGCAAGAGGGGAAAGTGAGCTGGTACCCCACAAGCCTTTGAGGGTTCCTACCATGCAAAATCGGGGCTGCGGTGGCTCAAGTGGTTAAGACGCTGAACTGCAGACTGGAAGGTCTGTAGTGCAGCAGTTCGAGACCCGAGTGCCTCATGATGGAGTGAGTTCCCGTCTCTGGCCCCAGCTCCTAGCAGTTTGAAAGCAAGAAATTGCAAGTCGATAAATAGGTACCGCTTCGGTGGGAAGGTAACAGCGTTCCGTGCGCCTTGGTGTTTAGTCATGCCGGCCACATGACGGAGAAGTCTTCGGACAGCGCTGGCTCTTCGGCTTGGAAACGGAGATGAGCACCACATCCCTGGAGTCGGATTCGACTGGCTTTCGAGCAAGGGGAACCTTCACCTTTACCATGCAAAAAGGGCTGGGTCCAGCAAGCAGCACCACACAACTGGGTCAGTTTTCCTAGGCAGAAGCTGCCGGTGTGTGTGTGTGTGTGTGTGTGTGTGTGTGTGTGGAGCTTAAGACAGAAAGACAGATGAAGGTAGGTTGGCTGTTAGGTGCGAAGGAGAGAGGGTGGCCAACTCCAGGTTTAGACATTCCTAGAGATGTGGGGGATGGGGTTTGAAGGGGGAAGGGACCTCAGAGGGGGTTTAATGCCACAGACTCCACCCGCCAAAGCAGCCACTTCCTCCACAGGAGCTAGGTTGCCAACCAGGTGGGGGCTGGAGATCACCCAGCATTGCAACTGCTCTCCAGATGACAGAGATCAGTTCTGCTGGAGATCAGTTCTGCCTTGGAGGGTATGGCGTTACACCCTCCCGAGGCTGCTTCCCTCCCCAAGCCCCACCCTCCCAAGGCTCCACTCCAAATCTCCAGGAATGTTCCAACCCGGAGCTGGCAGCCCTAATGTGGGAAATGATCTCTGTATGGTTGGGAGATCCCTCATGATCCCAGGACATCTCTAGGCCCTACCTGGAGGTTGGCAACCCTAGAAGGCGATAAGGAAGCAGGGAAAAGTGGGGAGACTGTGGGAGCTTCCAGGAAAGGGAAACAGGAAATAGTGGAGGAGGGGGAAATGAGATGCCTCCCACAAGTCCCCGCGGGTTCCCACTTGTGGTACTCTATTCCCAGACTCATCAGTCTTCTTCCCACTCTCACAACTTCTGGGCAGCACTAGCAACAGGAACAAAGTTAAGTCTCCAAAGAGGGGTGAAACAGAATAGTCCAGAAGGGTTCCCTCACCTTCCTCCTCCTCTTCCGAATCTGTGTAACTTTTATCTTCAATGAATCCCGAGCTGGCTGAGCTTCCCGTGCTGGCCACGCTCTCCAGGCGCCTCTTGATCAGCTCCGTTAAGTCACTGACAGACTCCTCAAGGCCCTTCTCACTGGAGTCAGAATGCTCCTGGGGCTTAAAGAAAACCACACAGAAGTCCGTTACCATCGTGCGATTTCACATATCAGCACACATGCCCAAGCCAAGTCCCCGTCAAAATATTCGCATCACCAAGGAGGAAAACGCAGAATGCACAGCTAGGAGCAGAGCGGCTTCCCAGCCTCTGGGTTCACCAGAGATTAGAGGCAAGATTAACCCCCATCCCCACGGTGTCCCCAAGTGTACCTCTCAGCTCGGCAATCAGGGCAATGGTGGTAACAGTTCTTAAAAGTGATTCGATTCAGTTCCTTAGTCCACATATAGCGAGACAGACCATCTTTTCCCACAAGGACATGGGCTCCAGCTAGTCCCTGCTTCAGGGCTTGTGGCAGGTTCTCTGAAGGACCACCTTCTCCCATTTGTTTCTGCCCAGGGATTAAGGCCACAGGGAGGTTTTGGGACCTTACTCCCCCCCAAAAAAGAACATCGTTTGGTGGACTCACAAGAAAGGGCCTTTTTGGTGGCAGCCCCATGATAAGAACATAAGAGAAGCCAATGTTGGATCAGGCCAATGGCCCACACTCTGGGTCACACACGATTACTGGACGACCTCCGCAGAGAGGTGTGGCTGGCTCCTTCACTTCTACTCTTTAGGAGGTCGTTGAAGACAGCTTTATTTAGGACTGCATTTGATTAAGTTCAGTAGCAGTCCTGAGTAGCTTTATGTTTTTAATGTATTTTATCCTATGGGTTTTATATGTTTGTTGGTCACATTGGGCTCCGTAAGGATGAAAGGCGCTTAAAAACATTTCAGATCAATGAATGAATGAATGGTGATGTGGATTAAAATCTTTCCCATGTTTTACTGAATTCAGGCCCTCGGGGCTTCTGATTTGGGCCCTTCCACACGACCAGGTGGGGTCCTTGTCCCAGGGGCAACCGCTGGGTCAACAGGGCAGCTACATGCCTGCGTTTTGCTTTTCAAACACATCCCAGAAGTCCTGATATTTTTTTCATGCAGTTGGGAGTCTGGGGGATATCGGGGGAGGAGCAGATTGCAGTTATGCCAGCCAGGGCTGTTTGTTCCACTGAGAGAATGTGGAGACAATGAACCCTGCCATGATGGGAAAGGAATTCAAGAGCCCTCTGGGAACATGGAATACTGTGGCTACGGCTGCGATCACGCACACTAAATAATCCACTTTCAATGCACTTTCGGATTATGCCCGTTCACACAGGCCCAATCTGCATCTAGCATTTGCTCTGCTGTCTTACCAAACCCACGCTGGAACAGAAATTCCCATCTACATGGCATGCTACTTTCACTTTGATTGATTGTTGGATTTTATGGCAGTGTCCAGACTGCATGCCAGCTTTCACTTCATTTCATCTTTTGGTTTTATGGAAGAGTCTGCACAGATTGATGTCCGTTTTATGGCCCTTCAGGGGTGACTCTGCCGTCAGTACGGCATTGGCTCGGGGGTATCTGAATGTGGTTTTGAGCTGCATCTTTTTCTGTTCCAGTGTGGGTCTGGTAAGACAGTGGAGCAAATGCTAGATGCAGATTGGGCCACCGTAAAATCCAGTTGGAAAGTGCACCGAAAGCGTTTTATTTAGTGTGTGTGATCACAGCCTATGACAGGTCAGCCAAGGCAGCCCCCCGCCCCCAGATCGCTGAAAAATCCAGAGAGTTGATTGGGCTGGACTGCAGCCATTCTTCACGTCCCCAGACACGGACTTCCAATGGAGTAGGCCCGGTTTGAGAGAGCAGCCATCCATAATCTCCAGCAGTGCTGGGGTATTTTTGGGTGGACCAGCATCCTTTATATCTGCACTGCAGTAAAGTCCAGACAGGTGCCTCCAGCCCTTGAATCCAACCCCCAGGGCTGGCAGTTCTTGCCTCACCTTGGGACAGTTCATCAGAAGCAGGGCCTGCTACTGGGGACTTCTCCTGGGAGTTCCTACAGGATTACTGAGAGTGGCTACATTTGTTCTGCTCACTTCAGACCTGAGCACGCTCAGTTCCTGTTACCCTGTTAGATGTTGCTGGATTGTGGGCTGCATCCCTTCCCAGTACAGGCACAGGTGGTGTTCCCCTTGTCTCTGTTCTCGTTCCACATCGGAGAGGTAAGGCTGAGCAACCCCACTTTGCGTGACCTCCCTTGCGGGTCCACTTGGTTCGGCAGAGGGAGCGACTGGAAGGACTGTACCATTCTGGGTGGTGCTCATGAAGCCAGACTTCAATCCGGTAACACAAGCCCATGCGCCCATCAGGGCTACCACAGGGTATTAGGTGAGACAGTTCACCTTCTGCCTCCTCAAAAAGGCCAAGCTGGTACTGGTGCCGAACTGGGCCACATACACAGACTGACCTTCCAGAGGGCATCAGATATCTCGGCCAATGCAATCAGGAATGCATCCTGTTATGTACTGAGCCTAAAGCCATTCCTCAAGCTGTACCTAGAATGGGTTGAGCTTGCTTCTCTAGAACAATAGCTCGCCTGGATCCAGGGACTAACCAATAGATAAGCGGTGCAAGTTTTTTGGTTTCTGGTTTGGAGTGGGTGTGTGTTGGGTGTGGTGTTTGCAGGCTTTATAAGCAGGGCTCCAGCCCTCCTAGCTTCATCTTGTAGTTTGCTAAAAATCACTTAATAAACCAGGGCTGATCACTGCAATGCGTCTAGAATCCAGTATTTAACACATCCCCAACTGGCAAGCACAGGAGGGCCCTTTCCCAGCCAGCATGGTGCAGCGGTTAGAGTGCTGGACCACAATCCGGGAGACCCAGGTTCGATTCCCCACTTGTGCCGTGGAAGCTGGCTGGGTGGCCTTGGGCCAGTCCCATGCTCTCAGCCTAGCCTATCTCGCAGGGTTGGTGTGAGGATTAAACGGAGGAGAGGAGAGCAAAGCTGCTCTGGGTCCCCACTGGGGAGAAAGGCAAGGTAGAAATGAAGTAAATAAGCAGGATGGCACCCCAAGCAAAAGTTCCCCCACCGAGGAGGCTGAGGAACAATCCCGCTTTCCATCTGTCTGTACGATGGGCCTGGGGTTGTAGAGCTAGCAGCACTTGATGCTCGGCAGAACTCACAGGATTGGTCCCCAGTGCCATCAAAGCATTTAGGGCCACTGTTATGTCCTGGGCCCGGCATCGACTAGCCTAGCTTGAAACCGAGAACAATAGTCAGCTAGGATCCTGGAAGGAACCTATCGACCAGAAGCCGCACTGTAAATAGCCTATCACGGGTAGTGTGTGTGTGTGGGGTGTGGTGGCATACACAGATTTAAGCAGGGCTTCGGTCCTGCTAGTTTGTCCTTAGTTTTGAGCTGATTCACAATAAAGCATGAGCTGATCACTAATCGCGTGTTGAACCCATTATACTTCAGTCATAGTGCCTGAGCAGAACTCCCTGGGAGCATTCCAGGAGCTGGGTGACCAACCGTTCCGTTTCTTTTGTGCATGTGGCTGTGCCAACTGGGGCGGCTGTCTCTGCCACAGCAAGGAAGCAATCTGCTTTGGGGGGGACTTGGGGGGTTCATTGCAGTGGCATCCATCAGGAATGACTCAGCAGCAAAAGGAGGCGCAAACTGCTAGGGGTAGGCTGCAAAAGGTTACCAGGGCACAGCAGAAGGACGGTAGGGCCAGGGTCCGGGATGCAGGAGGAGGCCAAAGCTGAGAAAGAGCATGGCCAGGGCTGAGCAGGAAGCTGTGGGCCAGCCACAGGTGTCGGCTTAAAAGCGGGCAGGATCCCGAACCCACAGAACCGACAACATCTTTGCAATCCCAAGAAGATGCTCTGACTAAAAGGCCCCGCTGGAAGGCAGCAGCGCTCATCGGTCCTCCAAGGCAGGGGAGCTCATCAGTCCCTCCACCTGCTGGCCATTTGGAAGGTGACGCAGCACGGCAAAAGAATCTGGGCCAGCAGAGGCCCTCATGGCACTCTGAGCAGGGCCTGGGAGGACCCGCCCCCTGGTGCCTGACGCTTCCTTTCGTGAAAGAATGCCCAGCAGTGCAGAAGTGTGCCCAGGAGGCCTCCGGGACTGGCTCAGCCTCAGCCGAACTGCTGCACCACACGCCCTGACCAATGCTCCCTCTAAGCCGTGGAGTCTTGTGAGCAAAAATTCTCCTTCGTGAGCTGCTGGCATTAAAGTTATGAGCGAGCGATTTGGCTACTGCATACATTAGTTTGCTCTGGGGCCATCCTTCCCTGAGCTAAGACAAAACTTTGTGAGCCAGAGGCTAAGAAACTGTGAGCGAGCTCACACTAACTCAGCTTAGAGGGAACACTGGCCCTGACGCCAGACCCTGGTCGCCACACTCCCAGGGATCCTTTGGGGGACCCTGCTGTTGCTAGCACAAAGCCTGCTCTCCACCTCTGGCCTACCAGCCATTGCGCCCTGCCCCAGTCCTTGAAGAATACAAGCTTTCTCTCTGCTCATGCCCTATCGCAACAGCAGACATTTCGCTAGACTCTGGCTAGAGGGACTTGAGATCTAAGCATGGGCGGGACCGTCTCTGGACGTGGAAAGGAAAAGAAAACAGTGACAGATTATCCTCGATAAACTAAACCAGACAATTCAAAAATAGTTCCACATTGCCTGTGTGGCAGAACAAACGGCCGGGGGACACAGTTTGGGGGAGACCGAGACAGAGACACGGATGCTAAACGGCGGACTATTGAGACTGAGCAAAGAGAAAACAACACGCCAGCAGCTCAAAATGAGGTCATGCTGCAGTCTGGGCTGTGATTGCAGCATCCCGAGTCTCTGTTTGAAAGCATTATTATGGCTTCAGCGTCATTAACAAAAGGGCCGACGTGATTACGGGACTACTGCCACTGGACTGGATTTTTGAAAGCTCAGCATTTTGTGCCCGTTGCTGGGCAAAAAAGAGGAGCCCCTGAGTGCCAGCGCAAGACTGGATTATTCAGGGGGGACCACTCCGTGGCCCAGACATGACTTCTGACTCGGGGTATCCCGTGTACTGAATGCGGAGCTCTCCTCTTGGGAGCCCCCTAGTGGGTAATGCTGAGATGGCACATGGATAATACAGCGAGAAGAAAAAATACTTGCATTTGGATGAAAACCAGGGGAGAATGCTGCAAGGGCTGTTGACGGAATCTCTGGTGTGATTTTACTTCTATATAGAAAGGGTGGGGAGCCCCAGTTTGGATTGGAGCTGCATAATGTAGGGGTGGAGAAGGATTTATGAAATTCCTTCCCATTACACTGTTTTCCTGACATCTTATGGCCCCTGGAAACCAGTTTTGGCCATTAAGGGAGCATACTATTTGCCTCAATCTTGTCTCTCTGTCCCCTTCAGTGGGGCAAACAGCAGGTTTGGGGAGTACATCTGAGGTCAAGAAAACAGCCCAAGGGGAAAGAGTTAATCCTTACTGCTTGCTGCAGCCCCAGTCCAATCAGGTGGTGTGTGTGTGTGTGTGTGTGTGTGGGTATTGGTGGTAGACCATCCACTTTGCATGCAGAAAGTCCCAGGTTCAGTCCCTGGCACCTCAAAAAGATCAGGTAAGAAGTGATGCAAAAGACCTCTGCCTGGAACCCTGGAGAGCTGCTGCCGGACACCAGCGTGACAGACAGACTCATGGCCTCATTCAGTGTAAGGGAGTCTCAGTGTACATTTGCTCATGAATTCTCTTCCTCCCCAGCTGCCATTTAGCAATAGGGCTGCCAGCTAGGAGCATCTGCAGGGCAGGGAAATTCCTAAAGAGTCGCACAACACCGTGAGGTCACTTCTGGCACTCACCTGGAAGTGAAGTCAGGGTATCATGCAATGATGTCCCCACCAGTGTTCCCTCTAAGCTGAGCTAGTGTGAGCTGGCTCACAGTTTTTTAGCCTACGGCTCACACATTTTTGTCTTAGCACAAGAAGGATGTGGCTCCAGAGCAAATTGATTTAAGCAATAGCCAAATCGCTTGCTCACAACCTTCATACCATTAGCTCACAAAATAGTATTTTTGCTCACAAGACTCCACAGCTTAGAGGGAGCATTGGTCCCCACCTCCCCTTTTTTGTCTTTGACTGCTCCAGGGAATGGGGGTGTGGCCAGAGCACAGGGGAGGGAGGATGCCACAGCGGCAACCCCGAGTCTAAACTGTTGTTGTTACACAGAACGTTCAATGAACCCAATATCCTAACACAAAACAGTCAACTGATAATCAGCAAAACGGTCCTCAATTGCAAAGTTACAAATCAAGTGTGTCTAACCTTAATAACTCACTGAGCAAATCTTTAAACATAATTTTGTCCATAGTCATAATAAACCAAACCTTACAAACCCACATCACTACACTTGGTAACGTAGCTGGCCTCTAATATCATGCCACCAAAATCCGAGCAGCAGCTAACAACTTACTGACCATCTGCCTGTGGACCTGATAATAACTCTAATTTAGCCATAGGAGCCATGCTAGAACTCTGATTGCAAACCTTTCAGCATCTTGTCTAGTTCGACTTTTAGAAGCCGGAAGGGAATGAAAAGATACAGGTAGATGCACAGTAAAGTTTTCCTTTGCCAAATGAACCTGGCTTTGCACGTTTTATGACAGATGCAATACCACCAGGTCATGTGACTTCTTCAGACTTTAGCCTCGTCCTTCGTGCTTGCGGGGGTCTCTTTGCCCTTACAGTCTTCTAGAAACATTATTTCTTCATATTTTTATTTCATGCTTCATTTTCCCAAAAAAATATATCACATTTAAAAACATTTGCAACATTTCTCCAGGGATTGGAAGAAGGTGAGTGACGTCACTATTAGTAGCCATTCAAGCTGAACAGCTCAGAAAAGTGCCATATCATTGTTTCCTGAACTGGCTTCTAGAGAGTTAAACAAATATATATATTTGTTTGTTTATTAAAAAATAGGCCTAGTAAACAGACCTCCTTTGCTATCCCCAAAACACAATGTTTGTATTCACCCAAATGGCATTCCTAGGAGAAAAGAGTTAATTTCCCAGTGGCCTTCTTTTACTTGACAAGGTACAGAACGACAAAACAGAATTTAGACAAATCTGACTCTGCTCAACAGGAAACAGAACCCATCGGTACAATCTGCCGTTAAGGACATCTGATTTCCTGTGCCCCAAAACTTCATTATGCGTTACCTTGCATGCAATGAAGTCCCCTCTTTTTCCTCTTAAGTAATTAGATAGATTTCCGTACTTGCAGTATTCTACTATGACCATCAAAGGACCTATAAATAGGACATAAGAGAAATTTATAGGATATTAACATGGAAATGCCATATAAATAATTGCAAAAGTATAAGGATCAAAACAGATGGAATGTTTGTGGATTCATGCGTGGATTTTCTCACAGGGTTGCCAGCTCTGGGTTGGAAATGCCTGGAGATTTGGGGGGGGGGTTTGAATCTGGGGTTTTGGGGAGGGGGTTTTAGGGAGGGGAGGGACTCCAGTGAGGTATGATGCTACAAAGTCCCAAAGCAGACATCTTCTCCGGGGAAACAGATCTCCTGTCACCCGGGCATCACTTGTAGTCCCAGGAGACCTCCAGCCACCCCATGGATGTTGGTTTGAACCAAAATGTTTTGAACCCAAATTCATTCTTCTGGGGTTTTTTTTGGAGAGGCTATGTACGATTCAGATTTGGGATTAGTACTAAGTTTATTTACAGCAGCAAGGATGGTTATTGCAATAAAATGGAAAAAGCCAGTGAGTGGCTTAACAAGATTTGGCTTATTGCACTATTATCTAAATTAACATACTATCAAAGGGCTAGTAGGAGTAACTCTATGGAACCAGATTTATTTACTAAATATTGGATATTACTCATTTCTTTTTGGAATGAAAAAAATATATAAGATATAGTCAAAGGTAAAGGTTTCCCTAGTTCAAAAGCTAGTCGACTCCGACTCTAGGGGGTGGTGCGCATCTCTGTTTCCAGCGCTGTCCGAAGACTTCTCTGTGGTCATGTGGCCGGCATGACTAAACACCGAGGCACACGGAACGCTGTTACCTTCCCACTGAAGCGGTACCTATTTATCTGCTTGCAATTTCTTGCTTTCGAACTGCTAGGTTGGCAGGAGCTGGAACTAGAGACGGGAGCTTTCTCCATCATGCGGCACTCAGGTCTTCAACTGCCGAACCACAGACCTTCCGGTCTGCAGCTCAGCATCTTAACCTCTAAGCCACCATAGCACCATAATATAAGATATACCCATTTGCTAATTACAATTTCTTGTAAAAGTACTGGGGAATTTGTTTTTTGTATATATATTGATATATATGAGTATATGTACTGAGTGCATGTTTGTATTGAAATAATAATTTTTTAAAGGCAAATCTATCTATAGTGGCAGAAGCTTCCAGATATTTCACATATACACACAGAGAGAAGGTGAAGGGGGAGAGAGAGAAGAGTTATTACAAAGGGAGGCCAAAGGGTCCTGCAATCCATACATCTATTTTGCAGAGTACAGGAAAATAAAAGCTCTAGCCAAAGGACAAAGTGATCTCATCCGAGTAGGTATGGACCACACCCAACTGGTGACAAACTAGGCCTGCCAGGCATGGCTTTGGCAACCCGCAGGAGACCCAAGAGGGCCAGGGACACGGAGGTATGACTGGCAGCGATGGTGTGATGGCACTTCCGGGAAACCCAGAAGTAATGTCATGCCTCTCTAGGAGAATTCCGGGCTGAACAGAGAAGGAGCAAATGAAACGGGGGTTGGAAAAGGAAGCCAGCTGCTAGTCAAATCCTGCCTCTGTTGTGAGCCGGTCTGCAAACTGGAATCTGGATTCCAATTGTACCGTTAAGAGCTCCAGGAGCACTTCAGAGGCCAACAAAATTTCTAGGGCATAAACCTTCGAGCCAAAGCTCCAGGGAGGTACGATCCTGAGGTGCTCCTGGACTCCAATGTAGTCCTTCTGCTGCAGACCATAGTTGAGAGTAACTCATTTGTTGGCACCAACGTTAACTGTGCTCAAGACAAACCAGGGTTCCCTTTAAACCAGAACCCACGACCATGGTTTGAAAGTGCGAGAGCCTAAGTTTGGTGTAGTGGTTAAGTGTGCCGACTCTAATCTGGGAGAACCGGGTTTGATTCCCCACTCCTCCACTTGCACCTGCTGATGTGACCTTGGGTCAGTCACAAGCTCTGGCACAGCTGTCCTTGAAAAAGAGCAGTTTGTGTCAGAGTTCTCTCAGCCCCACCCACCTCACAGGGTGTCTGTTGTGGGGAGGGGAAGGGAAAGGAGTTTGTAAGCGTGCAGAGCCGTCAGGTAAGCAGTGGAGAGGAGACTGCTAGTATTTTCTAGGAATCGGGCAATTTCCCACTAGGTCAGAGCGGAGTGGCCTCATAGAGTACATAAGGCTATTTTCCCAGGATGTCTTCTCTGCCAGCTACAGGTTTGTGGAGGGGCTCATGTGACAGGAATACAGTGGAACCCAGTGGTTGAATTAATGGGGTGAATGGTAGAGTGGAGGGCATTTCTCCCACAACCTCAAGTGTAGAATGCAGGAGGCAAAAACTCGGGTGGAAGGGTGGGAACAAAGAGATTTTGGATGGAGGCAGCCGACTCACAACAAGGATGCAAGGGCTGGCCTCGAGTATGGGCTGTCAGGTCCAAGTTAGGCAATCCCTGGAGGTTTGGGGGTAGAGCCTGCGTAGGGCAGGGCTTAAAGAGGGAACTCAGCAGGGTACACTGCCATGGGCTTCACCTTCCAAAGCAGCCATTTCCCCCAAAGGAACTGATCTCTGTCATCTGGAAGTCGGTTGTAATTCCAGGAGATCTCCAGCCCAAACATGGAGGATGGCAGCTCTGTCTGATGCACAGGCCCAGGTGCTGCAAAGTCCTTTCGTCCTGCTTCCCAGAGAAAATGTCCTTGTATTGGAGTTCCCTAATCTAATGGAGCACACTCCAGTTTGCATGAGTGCTGACCACTGAGAAAGTCCGATATTTTTACAAGGCACTCCAAAGCAACCTTGCAGAGGGACGAGGAAGAAATCGGCAAAAATGTTCTATCTGAATGCACAACAGGAATTGTTAGGAAGGTCTCGCGGATGTCACAAGGCAAGAGCCGACTCTGGGTTTAATGAGATCTCTTATCCTATATCTTTGCCGCTCCGGGCTATTTTTCTCTGGCCCTGCTGTCTGATACTTCAAAGGGGCCTTTAAACAAAACAAACTTTGAAGCTTATTATGTGTCTGCAAATGTTGACAATAGTTTGTTTCAGAGGGGACAGCAGGTTCTACTATATTGTATACGTATAGCTTACAGGTTGGCATAAGGGGGGGGAAATGCTACGTCGGTATACCAAGCACCCAGGCCCGTAGCTACCGCGGGGCCCAAGGGGCCCGCCCTCCTAGCAATTTTTATGGGCCCCTCCTCAAGCCATGGCTCCCCCCCCAATTGCCTGTCAGTCTGTCAGCACAGAGGACAAGGGCGGCACAAGTGGCGTCGAGGCTGGGCTGAGAGAGCAACCCAGGCAGGCAGCAGGTAAGCCCAGCCAGGCAAGGCAAGGAGGCAGGTGGCTGCCTCCTCTGGCCCCGGCCAGGCACACCCAGCTGTGCGCAGGTGTGCCAACGAGCCCACACGAGGCACCTCCATGACCAGCCTGGCCGCTGTGTGCCTCGGTTCTCCCAGCCCCGGGAGGGAGCCGAGGGTAAGATGCGTCTAACTCTCCAGGTGCTCCAGGCTGGAAGAAGATGCTAGGGTTGCCCACAGTGGGTTGGGATATCCCTGGAGGTTTGGGGGTAGAGCCTGCGGAGGGCAGGGCTTAAAGAGGGAACTCAGCAGGGTACACTGCCATGGGCTTCACCTTCCAAAGCAGCCATTTCCCCCAAAGGAACTGATCTCTGTCATCTGGAAGTCGGTTGTAATTCCAGGAGATCTCCAGCCCAAACATGGAGGATGGCAACCTTGTCTGATGCACAGGCCCAGGTGCCGCAAAGTCCTTTCGTCCTGCTTCCCAGAGAAAATGTCCCTGTATTGGAGTTCCCTCATGTAATGGAGCACATTCCAGTTTGCATGAGTGCTGACCACTGAGAAAGTCCGATATTTTTACAAGGCACTCCAAAGCAACCTTGCAGAGGGACAAGGAAGAAATCGGCAAAAATGTTCTATCTGAATGCACAACAGGAATTGTTAGGAAGGTCTCATCTTAGAAGGAACCCTGCTCAGGAGTTCTAAGGAGTTCCACCAATTAAATCAAAGTTAATTTAACTTTAATTTAATTTACGTTTAATTAACTTTAATTGGCTGGTGGCCCCCCCAAGGACCCCTCCCCCCAAAATCCTTAGCTATGGGGCTGCAAGGGCCTTACAGTCTACTATGACTAGGTTACAAGAAACCAAAGGATTTCTGGGGAGCTCTAGAAGCAAAGGATGCTTTGGGGAGCACAGCTTTCTCAGTATTATTTCCTGTCTTGCAAACAATTACGGGATACAGAACGGGACATTAAAACAGCAAGCAGAGCTAAGTGGCCCCTGCAGTGCTGACAATGTTGTGGGGTCTGCTTGGCTCAGTCCCGGACCCCCGGCAACCCTGATGGATGAGTGAAGGCTTACCCAACAGAGAAGCCATTTGGTTCAACCCGATCCCCTCCGGGCAGCTGCCTGCCAGGAACTTTCCTGGTAAGTTCAAGGCCCAGTCTGTCCCATGTGTAATCCCTTCCAACCTATGCATAGTGAACACTGAAGACCACTCAGCGTGCTCCAGACAGGGTTGCCAACCTCCAGGCGGGGCCTGGAGACCTCCTGGAATTACAACCAATTTCCAGACTACAAAAGTTCAGTTCCCCTGGAGGAAAATGACTGTTTCGGAGGGTGGGGCCTTTGGCGTTATACCCTGCTGAAGTCCCTCCCAAGGCTCCACCCCCAAATCTCCAGGAATTCTCTGGCCTGAGTTAGCAGCCCTAGCTCCAGAGCCTGAGCTATGCCATACAGGGAAGAGGGCAGAGACCATTTATCTGCTGATCCAGATGGTAAGAGGAGAACAAATGGGCTTAAGTTACAGGAGGGCAGATTTTGATTCAATATTAGGAGTAACTTCCTAACGGAAAGAATGGTAATGGAAGCAGTTACCTTGGGGGTTGTGCGGGTTTCCCCTCTGTGGAGGTCTTGACACAGAAAGTGGACAGCCACTTAGGACAGATGTTTTAGTTTAGGGTTTCCTCCACTGAGGAGGCTGGACTAGATGGCCTTTGCGGACCATTCTAAATGCAGGACTTTATGGCAGAATGAGGTAGCAGAATTCTGGACTGAATCACATCAGAATGCAAAAGGAAAACTGAAACGTTGAGTTCTTGCCTATGTATAAAAAACAGTCCCTCTGCATGTAGAAAACTAGAATTCCAGGGCTTAGTGCAGCACTCCCCTCAGTGGGCTAGGTTACGGCGTGCAGAGAGCTTTCCATGTGGGGAAACACGGAAAGCACATGGCCTGCCCTTGCAGCCTGCAGTCCAGAATTGTCCCACTTGAGTTTATGGCCTCATTCCGTACAAGGAGTAGGTGGTGGTGCCGTGGTGGAAAGGACCGCCGAGTCACAGCTGACTGATGGTGACCCCGTAGGGCTTCCAGGGCAAGAGGTGGACAGAGGTGGTTTGCCATGGCCTGCCTCTGCATCGTTGCCCTGGGCTTCCTTGGTAGCCTCCCGTCCAAATACTACACAATAAAGTTTATTGTCTGTGGCCAAAGGCCATTAAAACATCACTAGTATAACATAAGGAGCTGCGGTGGCTCAAGTGGTTAAGACGCTGAACTGCAGGCTGTGGAAGGTCGGTAGTTCAGCAGTTCGAGACCTGGGTGTGCTGCATGACGGAGTGAGCTCCCGTCTCTAGTTCCAGCTCCTGCCAACCTAGCAGTTCGAAAGCAAGAAATTGCAAGTAGATAAATAGGTACCATTTCGGTGGGAAGGTAACAGCGTTCCGTGCGCCTTGGTGTTTAGTCATGCCGGCCACATGACCACGGAAATGTCTTCGGACAGCGCTGGCTCTTCGGCTTTGAAATGGAGATGAGCACCGCAACCCTAGAGTCGGACTCGACTGGCTTTCGAGCAAGGGAGACCTTTACCTTTTTACCTTAGTATAACATAATTACAAATATCAGCATTAAAACAATCTAACCAAAAAGTACTAATCAAATAAAAGCATCGCCCTCTTTAGATGCAGCTCTAGCCCGTACTTTCTTGGCTGCTCAAGCAAGGAGTGACCCTCTATAGGAGACAGACAGATCAGCATCCGAGAGTAGAATACTAACCAGGGCTGGTGTCAGCTTAGCTTCAGAGATGTGACGATGTGACGAGTGTGGCCCAGCCAATGACTCTGATTGGGAACTGAGGCCCTCGGAGAAGTGATCATTTTTACAAACCGCTAAAACACAACCAAATCCATACTGTACTTTCTTGGCTGCTCAAGCAAGGAGTGACCCTCTATAGGAGACAGACAGATCAGCATCCGAGAGTAGAATACTAACCAGGGCTGGTGTCAGCTTAGCTTCAGAGATGTGACGAGTGTGGCCCAGCCCATGACTCCGATTGGGAACCGAGGCCCTCGGAGAATTGTTCATTTTTATAAACCGCTAAAACACAACCAAATCCATACTATGACTTTTTTGAAACGGACAAGCGAATGCCACACACATCTGAATCCTGAGCCGCCACTCACCTCCTGGCTTAGTGCAAGCTCCCAGCAAGTTGACCACGTTGAGATGGTGTCCGATATGGATGAGGATCTTCAGTTCAGACATCAGAGCCTTGCACTCGTTGGTCGTTGCGCACTCTGCTTGAGATAAATGGGGGACAAAGGCACTTTTACGCAACAGGACTTTGTCAGGGTGGCAGACAAAATCCTCTTAATACTTGGAAGGGAAGAAAAACATCACCACGAAAGAAACAAAAGACTGCCGAGGTCCCTTTTGGTAAATGTATGTCCCCATCTTCTAACCAAACATGGAACGTCTCCACCTGGAGGGTCCTGCCTTGACCTTCACGACGCTATGCCTGGAGTCTCCCCCTTCCTCCGCAGCTGAGCTGCAGAACCCCTTCCACCCACGTCTTCCACTGCAGGCTGAAGAAGCCACGGCTGATCTTTGAGTGCTTCTAACCATGCAGAAATGTTACATCATCTGCAGACACGGATTGTGAGGGATCCCATGCTTCCCCCAGGGTTTCTCCAGAAATATCTGTGTGGGTGATGAAGCGTGGTGCCACGTGTTCCACATTCCAAAAGCATGACGGTATCACAACCGGCCCTGGGAAGGGTTACCTGAAAATGCCATCTCCCAGAGTGCGGAGTGACCAGTCTTAATGGCCCTGGAAAGGAGATGGCCCTTTACCTTCCCAAGGAACTGGGCACCTGGGAAGGGAGGCAGAGAGGAGGTTGGCCAAAGCCCATGCTAGGGTCTAGGGGAAGATCCGGCACCATCAGGCAAAGGAATCGCCAAAGTTGCACGGCAAGAAGGAGAAGGGAGTGAGGAGTCAGTTCAGTCGCTTGCAGAGACGGAGCAAACATGTTTGTGACACCAATCAAACAATAAAAAAATTGCAGTCCATGCAATCAGCATGCCAGAGGATTTACATATTCAAGTGCCTGCAGAGGACTGGTATGCAAATGTCATTTGGAGGCACCATCTGCCCCATGGAGCTGCACTGAATTTCTTCTTTTTAAATCACGACAAGCCCGTCACCCTTGATTTGCTCTCTTGGCATCTCTCCTTCTCAGGCCCTTGAACTCCTCGACACCTGGAAGGTCCAAGATCAAAGGTCAATAGCCAATTTCAGACTATTAAACTCCATCGTGTCCTATAATCTGTTTCCTTCCCGACCCCAGAGATCGTCACTCCTTCTCCACTAAGAATATGAGGAGTAATCAGCGGCGGAGGACAGAGCCCATTGTTATTCGCTACACGTTGATATATATGCTATGTGGCTAAGTGAATTGCTCCCATATGGCAAAACCTCCGTTCTCTGCACACAGTCAATCTGAAACCACAACTTTAAAACCAACACGGAGCTGCCAGCTAAAAAGGCAGCCCCGGGTCTATTTCCTCCTTCCCCTTTGTAAAAGCGTGGGGTTCAATTTACTTAAAATCTGCATATCATTGCGCTGTGCCTTTCCCACTCCCTGTCAGCAACTTCTGTGGAATGGGAGTAGGAGAATGCACATCGGAATGATCAGCAATGCCTCGTATCTCTTCAGGAGTGGAGAGCCCTCAGTGTTGCAGGACATGTTCTGAGAGGAGCCTGTTGGGACTCAGAGGAGTGGTGTACCTTTAAGCATTTTAACAGCAACTGTTTTGCAGGTTGAAGATTTATCTATGCCAAAAGCAGACGCCTCCACCACCTTCCCAAAAGCACCATGACCCAGAGTTTTACCTAGAGAAGCAAGAGGAAAGAGTGAGCCAGAGAGAAGTGACAACAGTTTGCATCGGATATAAGCAGGGCTGTGTGCCGTACGCGTAAAAATAAATCTGCAACAAAGAAAATTGCATTCTGTGCCTCGTATCAATTATGCAAGACATATTTGCATAATGGCTCTGATTTTGGCATAATATTTTCCACTGTTTTTGCTATTTTGCATAATGTATTCTTCTTTTGCTAGTCATGGGCAAGAGCTTGGAGAAATACAGGCCACTACCCTACCATTTAAAGGCTATCTCTGCAACCATACAGATGAGAAACTTCCTATTTCCCCCCGTACTACAGTCTGTGAGTGTTCTGTGTTTGACTTCCTATTTTTGAATCCCCCTTGGTACTACAGTCTGTGAGTGTTCTGTGTTTGCATGGCATTGTGGCATGCACAAAGCCCTGGGTATAAGAGAGACATGCATATTGTTTGCTGAGCAAAGAGAGCAAAATGTCAGAGCCTTGGTCACATGCAGCAAAGACCGGCAGTCCGTAACAGGCTTGTATCACGTGCTGAAACATATGTATAAACTGAACAGAGTTTATGAACATATGTGGTGATACAAGTGTTTTAAAAACGTCATCAAAGACAGCAGACACTTCAGGGAACATAAAGACTGTCAGGCTAAGAGCGTGGGTATTCCTGAACTAAGACTGCATCCAGAACCTTGAGAATCCGTGTTTGGTCAACAGCAGTGCCCGCTACGGCTTTCTCATTCATAGAAAGAATCTTGCTTCAATCCGCTCCCTGCCCAGTGCCAAGTAGTAAATCTAAATGGAGACAGTAGGGGCTGTGTGCCGAGAATGATCTCAAAAGCAACATATCCTGGGTGGGCTTTGTAGGGGCTGCCCACAATACGGAGGATGCTTTTCTGTCACCACTTGGGAGTGGAAGAACTATGCAAGTAAAATTTTAAGAAAGGCTGAACGTTCAGGAAGTTTCCAAGGTAAGTCTTAATCTCATTCACTGGCACTGTAAGAAAAAAAAATGCACAAGCCAGACAGATAGAGCAAACCATTGTGGTGTAGACTTTGGCACTATATTCATCCTGAACTTCCACAGTTAGTGCAACAAAGTGCTGTTTTCATAAAAATCTGCCGTCTTCACTTGTGCCCCTGTTGAGGCCAGCACATTCCCCGAAGACAACAGCTGAAAAATCTGCCATCTTCACCTGTGCCCCTGTTGAGGCCAGCACATTCCCCCTCTGTTCCCTTCTGCAAAACACCAGGGCTGGATCTGAAGACGCTCCAGAAGGCTTTCAGTCCTTGCATCAGGACTTTAAGGGCAATGGCCGTTTCCCACTAAGGTGGGGCACTGAGCCAAGAGCCACTGAATGGTACAATATGTCTGGAAGGCCTTTAGTCCCCGTGGCAGGAACGTGGGGGTGAACTGGAAACTTATCAGGGAGTTCTCCGTGAGAAAATCAGCGATGGCGCTTGCACTTCCATAAAAGACAGCCAGCCCCATCGCTACCATTCTTCCAGTAGTGTCTAGCCACAAGAGTGTTGGGGTGGGGTCTTCTAGGAGAAGGGCCGGTGGAGGAGCGCATCCTTTGCATGCGGCAGGTCCCAGAGTCAGTCCCTTGTGCAGGAATTCCCAAAGTGGCATCCGCTGACACGCTTCCTGGTGCCCGCCAGATGTTTTTAGAAAGTGGGAGGGGCCAAATGGAGCTTTTGCCCAGCAGCACTTTTGAGCGGCCACTGGAGATCTGATTGGCTGTGTAATGCCACACGCCAGAAGACAGTTGACTGATTTGTTATTGTATGAACTCCCTACGCATTTTGCCCATGCAGGCTTCGTCAGGGGGAATCAGGGCACTCACCTAGTGCTGGAACTGTCCACAGCAATTAAGTTCTGATCCCCCCCCACACACACAAAAGCCTGCACGGGCGAAACATGTAGGGAGTTCGTACGATAACAAATCAGTCAGCTATCACCTGGCATTTCCCCCTTTTTGCTCTTTTGACACATTGCTAGGTGCAGCCCAGTTTTTCTTCATCCTTGGATTTTTAAAGGACATCGCTGCAGCAGTAGCGGCCACCACAGAAAACGCATCTTCACTGTGTGGCTGAAAGTATGCAATATTTTAAAACAATACATTCATTTTAAAAGGCCTCCTGTTAAGCAGAGCTTCTGCTTGAAACGCTGAAGAGTTACTATCGGGAGTAATGCATCACCTCACTCCCTGCTGCCACCCGCGGCAGCCATTTTGTGGTGGGCTCTGCCTCCTCTAGCAGCCATTTTGTGGTTGTGTTCACCACCCTGTCAGAATTTCCCACAGGCTTCAAAAAGGTTGGGAACCCTTGCCCTAGTGCCTTCAGTTGAAGGATCTTGGAAGCAGGAAAGACATCTGTCTGCCAAGACTCTGAAAAGTCACTGCTGCCGAGAGAGGACCATACTGAGCTAGATGGACCACATTCCATAGGACAGCTTCATAGATTCACAGTTCACAGATGACAACAGTAAGGCCCCAAAAAGCCAGGCCAGGACCTGTGTAAGCTTTGTGCATGCTTCAGAGCATACCCTAGCAATGCACAAAGCAGCTGATTCGGCAACGGTTCCCTCTGCATGTATAAAGGTCAAAAACCACTTCACCAGAACATCAGCCTAGCCAACGAGCCCCAAAATGTTCACCATGATGCCACCACACCTGATGCAAGGGTGCATCTCACTTACCCAGGCGCAACCTGTCCCTGGGGAATTCCCATTTGCTGCTATCATATGGGAGACGCTCACACTGTTCATCCAGAGGCATCTCCTCGGGATCCATTATGATGGACAGGTACCCTGTTTTAATATCTGTGGCATCAGGCTGCAAGGGGGGAAAGGGAAGGAACGCAATTAATAGATTTAAAAGTATTACATTCCACAGAAGAGAGCCATTATCTCCAGGGGAACTGATCACTGGAGAGCCATTGTAATTCTGGTGGATCTCCTGACCCCACCTGGAGGCTGACAACCCAAACTGTATCATTGCCTGTATGTTTCCCCTTTGGGGCAAAAAGCAGCCACCCAGGGCCATTTCAGGTCAGAAAAACAGCGTGGGAGGAGACTTAATCCACCCACCCACTTACCATGGTCCCCATCTGAATTGGGTAACCATGTGCCCAATTTCAAAGTGCAGTCTTGTATCTGCCACCTTTACACATGGAAGGAGTTATCTGAATAATGAAGGGTTATGGTCAGAAACGGTGGTTTGGGCTGGCAAGAGACCCGTGTTCCTATTTATTCATCTTCCCATGGCTCAGGCTCTTGGAAGCTTTGCAGAGAGACCAAGAAGTAAATGAGCTACAGAAATGAGATGGACTTTGTAGACTGGGCTAAGGCCTTAAGAAACCAGTGGGATTGTTTACTTGTGGTCATAAAACATGAGCCAGAGGGATTTTTTTTAATTTACTTTTTTGGATTCACAGCATGTTGACTGCTCAAAAAAGGTGAAGAAGTTTTCGGAGAGCGGCATGAATTTGCAACAGTGCAAAACTATAGAGTTGCACTCTTCTAAAACGACTTGTGTGTGTAAAGTGATGTCAAGTCACAGTTGACTTGTGGTGACCCCAGCAAAGGGCCTTCAAGGCAAGTGAGAAGCAGAGATGGTTGGCCAGTGCCGTTTTCCTTGGCGGTCTCCCTTCAAGTACCAGCTCCGCTCAGCTTCCGAGATCTGACGAGATCGGGCTATACCACGCTGCCTTCCCTCCCATATCAATGGCCTTAAAAAGTAAAGATAAAGGTTCCCTTGCTCGAAAGCCAGTCGAGTCCGACTCTAGGGTTGCGGTGCTCATCTCCGTTTCAAAGCCGAAGAGCCAGCGCTGTCTGAAGACATTTCCGTGGTCATGTGGCCGGCATGACTAAACACCAAGGCGCACGGAACGCTGTTCCCTTCCCACCGAAGTGGTACCTATTTATCTACTTGCAATTTCTTGCTTTCGAACTGCTAGGTTGGCAGGAGCTGGAACTAGAGACGGGAGCTCACTCCGTCATATGGCAACTCGGGTCTCGAACTGCTGAACTACCGACCTTCCACAGCCTGCAGTTCAGCGTTGTAATTCTGTTTCGGATCACGCCGTAACTCTTTTTAACTAGCGTAGGCTGCATCGCATTTGTTTTGATCACGTTTAGGTACATAGTTCATAGATGTAATCTTTCTTCCATTGAAGGCAATGGCAAAAAACTGATTTCATTTGAATGGAATTGGACAGCAGCCAGAATAATTTCCTAGCAATTCCATTAGCATGGCTGAGTCTAGCACTCAGTCAAGACTACATACCTACTTTTTTTTTTAGTCCAGTGGCACCTTTAAGCTTATGCCCAGAATTAAACTTTGCTGGTCTTAAAGATGCCCCTGGACTCAAACTTTGTTCTGTTGCTTCAGACCAATACAGCTGCCCACCTGAATCTACCTATTTTTCTGTTTGAGTTTTCAAGTATCAAAAAGCACCTGTTTTTTGGGGGGAAATTTCTGACATTCATTACAAACCAGTTGTATGGTTTTAATGCTGTTGGGTGTTCTTTCGCTCTGTAGCCTCAGTCTAATAACTGGTCCTAGTAGTTCTGTTGAAATGGTATATCATCGCATGAACAAGCATGTGAGATACAAGTGGACACATGTACCAATGTTTATAACAAATCTGACACCAATCCAAGTTTTTCAGAGACAGTTGAGTGTATAGGGAACGGTATACTTCGGTCCCATTGAGTTCAACAGGGATTCAATTCACGGATCTTCCTCTGGGATGTATTAATTTAAATTTTATGGAATAGTTTGAAAGACCACTAACAGTATTTTAGGGGAAAACCTTGTTAAGAAATCCTATTCTAGAAAGATAAGCCTATTTCATGTTCTGAATTTTTCTCAGTACTAAAAGACTGTGGAGTTCTAATAAAAAATAAAACTGGTTACTTGTGGGAATTAAGACCAGTTACTTGCCATTTCATGAAAGGGAGAAACTATGCAGAGATGCTCATAAAGTCACAAATGTAGTGGGTAAAGGACTGAAATTTGCAGAATCTTTTCACAAACCATTTTGAGGGTGATTGGAAATACTGTCAGCTATGCTGCCATGATGTTTATGGGCAGGAGTGCCTTTGCTTGACCTGTGTACCAGCTGCTGCTGCATTCCTTCGTTCCTTATCATCTCTGACCTTGTATGTCTGTGTAGTGTCTTCCCATGAATTACCCGTGGGACTAGTTTCGATTCCCAGCTTTGGCTTTAACGGCCTAGGGATGGGTTGTGTGTGCATACGAATACCCTATATCCCATTATGCTTGTAGGAACGTAGCCATTCCTAACAGTGACGATGTTACTGCCTCTATAGCTCTTACAATAAAGTATAACCTTATGATAAGCGTGTACTCAATTGTTTGGCTGTGGAACCTTACAAATACCACTTTATGGAGAAAGTGTGAATCCATCATTAACCAAATCTAAGATGACAGAGCAGAATCTAATGTTCCACCTCTTCCAATCCTAGTGTTGGATCAACTTCAGATTTAAGCTGTGAAGTCAAGCCCTTCGGCGATAATGATTAATGGGTAGCCCAGTGCTCCTTCCCAAAATGTCTTCAGGTTCTAGAAAACATGGTTTCCCTATTTTGATGTCACACCTCAAAGTGTACATTTGTGGTAACCAGTGTTGCCTCTGACCATGTGCCTCCTGACAGCAAGGCCTGCACTGCTTTATTAAGAATTAATAAAACTCCTCAGAACATTATCAGTAGAACCCAGCAGCCCCCCACGTCTACCCAAGTCCCTCCTGTACTAACGAACCTCTGTGCCCCATTTCTAACATGATGGAGACCCTCTTACTTTTCTCAGTTTCCGTATAAAAAGGGTCAGGAGGAGCCAGAAGAGGGTGGCTGCTAAACCGGTGCAAACCAAAATGATGACTTCGACGTTGGATTTCTCTTCAGAGCCTGCAATGAAAGACGTGGTTAGATTTCAGCCTGACGCTCCTGCGCTGACATCACACTTCTGACGAGGAAGGCCACACATCACACTTCTGAGGAGGAACAAGGGAATCCGCCACAACAGACTGTGAAAAGGGCACAACTGTACTAGGTACCAGAAGCGAGGAGTTCACTTGCATGGCCCTCCACGGTGCCTGATACAAGGGGCCGTTTCTGGACTGGATCTAAGACACTCCCACCAGGGATCAAAGTAAAGAACCCCTATGGACTGAAAATCCGTGGGATAAAACAAATATCTTTGTACAGCACCTAGTATTTTTAGGTACCACAGAAATGTGAAAATACACTGGTGGCCTTCTGAAGATGACTTTCCCACCATACGCCATCAGTTTAGCTGTCCTGTCCCTTTTTCCCTGAACAGACCCACCATATGTTGTTGTGTAGAAAATACTTCCTCACATCAATTTTCGAATAGCACTTTCAGATCTCCCCCTCTACCTCCACAGCTAAACCGGGCACTGAGATTTTGGAAATGAAACTTTGAATGTCCACCAAAACTGGAGAGAAGTAAAAACTGCAACGCGGCCACAATAACAGCAAGTAACTTCCCTGATGTTGGGTGTGTTGGGTAAAGAGAGCCAGTTTGGTGTAGTGGTTAAGTGTGCGGACTCTAATCTGGGAGAACCGGGTTTGATTCTCCACTACTCCACTTGCACCTGCTGATGTGACCTTGGGTCAGTCACAAGCTCTGGCATAGCTGTTCCTGAAAGAGCAGTTTGTGTCAGAGTTCTCTCAGCCCCACCCACCTCACAGGGTGTCTGTTGTGGGGAGGGGAAGAAAAGGAGTTTGTAAGCCGCTCTGAGACTCCAAGTGAAGGGTGGGGTATAAATCCAATCTCTTCTTCTTCATATTGCTAAGCTACCATGAAGCTTCACCAAAGACAAAATTTCAAGGTGAAACTGGGCAAACTTGGGCAAAACTTGCTTGGGCAAAGCTTCTGAGGATCTCTGAGGGAAACAAAAAGAGTTTTGATAATGCTAGTAAAAAAAACTGCATGCAGGTTTGGAAAGACCGTCTCCCCTTTCCCTGAATCCTCAGCATCTAACAGGGGTTCTGATCCCTAAATCTGTTATCTGTTTTTCCTCAGATCATGTCCTGCAGTTTAAGAGGGTTGGATTAGAAAAGAGAAAGAGTCCAGTGGAACCTTAAAGACTAAAAAATATGTGGCAGGGTATGAGGTTTTGTGAGTCACTGCTCACTTCTTCAGATACCTGAAGAGGGTTCGATGTATTTGTTTGATACAGTGAAAATAGACAGGAGTCTTGTGGTACACCTTGAAGATTAACAACGCTTTATTTCAGCATATGCTTCTGTGGCCCCTGGAGTCCACTGGGTTCACTCATTCCAGCACCTCAGAGATGGTGTGAGAAGCCCAATGCCATGTGGGAAGAGCTGCAGACTGTTTATTACCCGGGCAGCATGGGAAGAAACTGCCCAGTGTTGGCTTCCACACCACCAGCCTAACGGAAGACAGGGGCCCCACGCAGTTCTCTTCTTCTAGTGGTACTACTTTCTGATCTATCCCCATGCCTGGTTCCACAAATCCCATTAGGAACTGCATGTTAATTGTGATCGCAGGGAATTCTTTCCCTGCACACAATTCATAGTGACCGATTTCACACAAGAGCTGCACCATGGTAGCGCCTCCCTTTGCCCCGCTTCTATTGGTCAGTTTTCCACTCGAAGCCGCACGGCCACGTTTTAACCCACGGCTTTGCTTGATTTCCCCCGCGGTTTCTTGATCCTCAAAAAACAGGATCACGTAACCGCGGGGGAAATCAAGCAAAGCCGTGGGTTAAAACGTGGCCGTGCGGCTTCGAGTGGAAAACTGACCAATAGAAGCGGGGCAAAGGGAGGCACGACCGCGGTGCAGCTCGTGTGTGAAATCGGTCAGTGATAACTGAGAGACGGCGGAGAAGAGAGGAGAGGAAGAGGAAGAGAAGAGAAGTTTTTGCACTGTCCATGTGGATATACCATTCTCAGCCTGCCCTTTATTAGGTCCCTCTGGATTTGCAACCTCTCTGTGTCTCTGATCAAGTCCTAAAATTGAAAGGTTACCCACGGGGGGGTGAAATGGTCTTAAGAAGTTCCTGGACTTTAGAGAAGTTCATAAAAATAGAAGAGGCGGGCATCACATCCTTTGCAAAGAGCAGAATGGGGGAGGGTTCAGGATTCCTCCAGGGTATCAGCAAGGGAAAACCTATCCTATTCCTGTTTCCAATCAACAGGAAACCCAACAACATTGTCAGTACTGCAGAAATGGCTTATTGATATAGAGTTGCAAGAGCTCAGAGCCCTTGCCTCCGGAAGGTGCTCCTCAGTAAGGTGGGCTTATCCCCTTTCTGGTGCTCTACCATATTACTTTTTCTGTCTGACTTCACCGCAAATGTGTAGAGCTTATCTGTTGGCCCGTCTTAATGTTCTCCCCTCTGCTATTCTTGAGGGGAGATATAAACAAATTCCTTATTCAATCAGGTTCTGTGGATGTAATAGAAGTGAAATAGAAACTGTTGAGCACGTACTCTTACACTGTAAATTGTTAAATGACATTCGAGTGGAGTGTATAGAAGCCCCCCTTAGGTTGGTAGCAGGCCAATCGGATAGAATCAAGGTACAATTTCTCCTTGCTTCATGAGATCTGGAGATCATTGAACTGACCGCTAAGTTTCTCCATTGTTTTATAAAACGGAAGAGTAACCCTGATCATATTAATGATTCTTAATTTATAAGTTTAAAAACTTAAGTTTAAAAGTTTGGAATGCCAGTTTATTTTATGATTCAGGCATCTTTTGTATGGTCAAATCTAACTTGTGACAACTTGAGTTAGGCCTGACATAGCCACGACTATCTATTTTATAATTTCTCTTGGATTGTATTATTGGGAAATGCTTTTAATATTGTATGCCAATAAAAGGTATTTGAATTGAAATGGCTCGTGCTCATTTCGAGTTGCAGACAGACGCTTACATTAATTTGTACTACCTCTAACCTTTTCCATGTCTTTTTTAAAATGTATACAGGATATATTTAGAATATTTTCTTGGACGGCCTGAACCGACCAGCTGCCCAGTCCAGTACTGGTGCTGCCCCCTGGCCCCTTCACCTTGGATCCGGATGAATGCCCTGGCGCTGTCTTGGCCCATCTCATTGACGGCTCTGCACTCGTAGTGACCCTCGTCGTCCTTTTTCACTCGCTCAATCACCAGGGTGTTGTTCTCCATGGAAATCCCTGAGGAAAGGATTGGAAGTCAATTTAATATAGACGGTAATGTTTGCTAGGAAACCAAGTTTCCACAAGTTAATTGGTATCAGGGTTCCTAATTACTGACTTTGCCTCAACTATCCTTGTTATTTTAATTTCATTTACTCAAAACACTTATCACTTGCCTCTCTGTAAGGGGCCTGAGGCAATCCACAACAACTGTCTAAAATCATACAAACCAAAACACACGAGCATAAAAATAAATTGTGGTTAACAACCCAGACATGTTCTGAAGAGAAGTTCATCTTTGAACTCTTCTGGCCTCATGAATCGTAGCCTGGTGTCTAAAGGGCACAACTGGGCCAGATGAAAAACATGCCTCTCATTCTGTCCATGAAGTACAGCCAGAAGGCGCCTGGAGCCTCAATTTGCCTTGGGGGCATGGAAGGCACGAGAGAGGGGGCTTTACCCTACAACCTCCACTCAGCATTCTTATTTGAAGCCGGGCTCCCAGATTTAAAGGGGGGAAAGCAGGGCTTTTTTATCTGTGGCCCCTGGAGTCCACTGGGTTCAATGGCACTCATTCCAGCACCTCAGAGATGGTGTGAGAAGCCCCATGCCATGTTGGAAGAGCTGCAGACTGTGTATTACCCGGGCAGCATGGGAAGACACTGCCCAGGGTTGGCCTCCACACCACCAGCCTAACGGAAGACAGGGGCCCCACGCAGTTCTCTTCTTCTAGTGGTACTACTTTCTGATCTATCCCCATGCCTGGTTCCACAAATCCCATTAGGAACTGCATGTTAATTCTGATCGCAGGGAATTCTTTCCCTGCACACAATTCATAGTGACCGATTTCACACAAGAGCTGCACCATGGTAGCGCCTCCCTTTGCCCCGCTTCTATTGGTCAATTTCCCACTCGAAGCCGTGCGGCTGCGTTTTGACCCGCGGCTTCGCCCTATTTCCCCCGCGGTTTCTTGATCCTTAAAAAACAGGATCACGTAACCACGGGGGAAATCAGGCAAAGCCATGGGTTAAAATGTGGCCGTGCGGCTTTGAGTGGAAAACTGACCAATAGAAGCGGGGCAAAGGGAGGCGCGACTACGGCGCAGCTCTTGTGTGAAATCGGTCAGTGATAACTGAGAGACGGCAGAGAGGAGAGAAGAGGAAGAGGAAGAGAAGTTTTTGCACTGTCCATGTGGATATGCCATTCTCAGCCTGCCCTTTTTTAGGTCCCTCTGGATTTGCAACCTTTCTGTGTCTCTGATCAAGTCCTAAGACTGAAAGGTTACCCACGGGGTGTGTGTGTGAAATGGTCTTAAGAAGTTCCTGGACTTTGGAGAAGTTCATAAAAGAAGAAGAGGCGGGCATCACATCTTTTGCAAAGAGCAGAATGGGGGAGGTTCAGGATTCCTACAGGGTATCAGCAAGGGAAAACCTATCCTATTCCTGTTTCCAATCAACAGGAAACCCAACAACATTGTCAGTACTGCAGAAATGGCTTATTGATATAGAGTTGCAAGAGCTCAGAGCCCTTGCCTCCGGAAGGTGCTCCTCAGTAAGGTGGGCTTATCCCCTTTCTGGTGCTCTACCATATTACTTTTTCTGTCTGACTTCACCGCAAATGTGTAGAGCTTATCTGTTGGCCCGTCTTAATGTTCTCCCCTCTGCTATTCTTGAGGGGAGATATAAGCAAATTCCTTATTCAATCAGGTTCTGTGGATGTAATAGAAGTGAAATAGAAACTGTTGAGCACGTACTCTTACACTGTAAATTGTTAAATGACATTCGAGTGGAGTGTATAGAAGCCCCCCTTAGGATGGTAGCAGGCCAATCAGATAGAATCAAGGTACAATTTCTCCTTGCTTCACGAGATCTGGAGATCATTGAACTGACCGCTAAGTTTCTCCATTGTTTTATAAAACGGAAGAGTAACCCTGATCATATTAATGATTCTTAATTTATAAGTTTAAAAACTTAAGTTTAAAAGTTTGGAATGCCAGTTTATTTTATGATTCAGGCATCTTTTGTATGGTCAAATCTAACTTGTGACAACTTGAGTTAGGCCTGACATAGCCACGACTATCTATTTTATAATTTCTCTTGGATTGTATTATTGGGAAATGATGATCATATTAATGATTCTTAATTTATAAGTTTAAAAACTTAAGTTTAAAAGTTTGGAATGCCAGTTTATTTTATGATTCAGGCATCTTTTGTATGGTCAAATCTAACTTGTGACAACTTGAGTTAGGCCTGACATAGCCACGACTATCTATTTTATAATTTCTCTTGGATTGTATTATTG